CCCTCCCGTCCCTCCCTCAGCAGGGACAGCCTGCGATGCATCCCATGCCTCCTGACTGCACGGTAGCTCCGGAGGGATTGGCGTGCTCTGGCGTGCTGCCGTCTTCTTGTGAAGATGCGGTAGCTTGAACGAGTTGTCCCCTCGCGCCAGCATCACCTCCTGAAGACGCTCTGCAGCGTTGTCCACACCCGGTCGACAGCGCCCGGAGATTGGGCCCAAAACGCCCTTTCCACTTCGGCCACAAGCTGGTCAATAGTGGTGGGAGTGGTGCGGTCTTGCAAGGACTGGATGGAGTTGAAGAAGCCCAGATCGAGGACGTTCATGTCCGGGCTATTGGCAGGCTGGTTGATGAGCTCTATCCTCCTTCCTTGCGCGGCCGCCGCAACGATCTCAGGGTCCATCACACGGTGCCCCGGAGCGCTGTCCTGCTGCGCGAAGACTGTCGAGACGGCCGGAAACTTCGCCCTGATGTCCGGTAAGACGTTGTTGATCAGCTTCTCTTTGTACGTTACGCGGTTGACCTCCACGCTGCGCGTCACTATCGTCCCCGCCGCCCTGTTCCTGCTGTTGCGCTGAGCAGCGCGCTGAGCAGCGCGCTGCACCGTGAAGGGGTAGATGCCGATTTTGCCGTCGAAGTGGCGGTTGCGGCTGGAGTCGAAGCGCGGCCGAGCAACTGCTGCGAGGAACATGACCTTGATCACGTAGCTCTTGTGCTGGACTTTCCGAACGGGAAGGTCCTCACCCTCCCAGCAGTAGTACCGCTGACCCTGCTTGACGATGTAAAACCATTTCTCCTCCAAGTGAACGAAGTTGAAAAAGTGGTGGTACTTGTGTGCACCGCCGAGGCCGCTCCTGACCCACCGCAACGACCACGTCAGTCTGGCAGTCTTGCCGTCGTCAGTAAGAAGCGGCTTCAGGAACCTCGAGCACGAGCGCAGGCCTAGCTTTTTGGGTTTTGAGTGAGAGTTGTTTTCGGAATGTCCAAAGCGGCCGCAATCGCCCTTTGCGTCGTGCGGTTCTTGAGTGGGATCTGCTGCAGCGCCTCCTTAACCCTTCTGGGACTCCAACGGGAATTTTGTGATCACTGGAAATGATCATTTCTCATATTTGTGCTCGGTCAGCCCGGTCTCTTCGACCCGGGGATGA